TGTGAAGAACATGCAAGATTGTTGTATAGGTACACACATGGCAGTGTGATTTGCTGCCTTCCTCCCCATCACCTATATCTGGCATTTCTCCCCATGCTATCTCTCCCCAACTCCCCATGCCCTTCTGTCCCTCCCCTATTCCCCCCCCCCCACAGACCCCAGATTTACTCAGTCTGTGTCATTTGAATATGTTAAGAAATTTGAAGAATCTTACTAATGTTTGCATCAAATATGTTTTTTTCATAAAATATAATATTGATAAAATACAGAATTTGGAATCATTCAAAGTCATAATTTTCAATAGTTTAGAATAATAGTAATGCCTCTAAGAACATTGTAATAAGTGAAATATTTATTGAGTAATTGAAATACTATAAACAAATACGTGTTATAAGTACAAAAAGGTCAACAAGAGAGACTGTCTTACTGGAAGTTATCTCTTGAAAGCTCAGACAGCTCCTATGAATTGTGAATACTCATTTTCTATTATAAATGCAGAACAGTATCATAATTGCCAGTAAAGGTATTTAATTATGTATATATGCAACAAAATATCAGAAGCCCCAAAGGTGGAACTTCAAGGAAGCTGATCTTATCTAATGATCTATCCTAAAGTTTAAAATTGGATGTTTTCATTTTTCTTTGACCCAAATGTGTAAAGATTCCTCGAAGGAAGTGCTGCTACTGATGCTGAGTTACCTTCCAGGCTACCTCCTGATTGATAGCTCAGGGAATGTGATATTCTTCTGCTCTCAACTCATTCAGTTCCCTCAACCAAAATGCTTACCAATATTTCATTCAGCTTATGGCTTTTACTTATTTCCATCTGCCTTTGCTAAGTTATCTCTTATTTTGTTTATGTCTATGCTTTTACTCTCCCTCTGACACTTGAGTATGTCTTGGCTTGCCTTGGTACATAAAGGATAGAATAATCTCCTTACCTTCACAAATGACAATTACTAATACAGAGCATATTTAAAATAATCCTGCTAATACAAACTTGCACACATTACACATAAAATTGGGCCTGGATCACATATGAAGACCCAACAGATGATTTATTTCACTCAAGTGAGAATGAATATATTTGACATAAATTCAAATAACCAAGAACTAATATGAAAAAACTCTCATGTATTGATTAATAATCAATCAAATAACCTTTAGGACATACTAAGCCTGGTTAACACAAAATGGTCTACCAGAAAAAATGTCATCATGTTGTTTAGGATAAATGTGTCAATGTTAAGAATTCAGAAACTCGTTTATCTGGAAAGACCATTACATTTCCAATAAGGAATTATAAGGTGGGATGTGATTTTTCCAAGATAACTAAACTAAAAATCAATTATATTTTCAGATTTCTCGTATATAATTATTCCTACTATACTAAGATTTTGCTGGAGTCTTTATTTTCGACATTCCAAATTCATCCATAATTAGCCATGATCAGGTTTAAATGTAAAAAGTGGGGAAAATGTCTATGCAGTGCCCCTGCACTTTGATTTTTATTACCTATATTTTTTCCTCTAATGACCTAGGTTACAACAGATGAAAATTCCATGTGTGTGTGTGTGTACGTGTGTGTGTGTGTGTATCTGTGTGTGTGTGTGTGTATGTGTGTGTGTGTGTGTATGGTGTTTTCAAATACAACATTGCTTTCATTGGACCTTCATGGCTGGGAAGATTTTAATGCATTTATTTCCACCCACTTGCTCTCCGAGCTTTGAAATTCAGTTTAATTAAATAAAATTTAATAAACATTTAGTGAGCACTCACAATGTGTCAGGTTCTTTGAGTGAGTTATTCCTGGATCCTAGGAGCTCACAGTAAAGTGTTTCAGAATGGTAAATATCTGAACATTAGCCTGTAATTTTATGCTCCATATACGGGATACTACTTTACATAAATATATAAGTCAAGTCAACACATATGAGACTGTTTTCTTGATAGATCATGGAAGAACAAAATCTGTTCAAGGAAAAAAAAGAGAAATACTATGTACATGTCAACAATGCAGTCTTTTTAAGAGACATTCTCTAGAAAGCAGCTCTATTTTGTATCAGTTAGAACCCTGAAGCCGCATCATTGTGGTTAAAGCAATACATTTGTAAAAATAAAAAGGATAATTGTGGGAGGAGATTCTACACACTCCTTTTCCAATGAGCTGCTCTATGTGAGGCCCTGGTCAGGGGAAACATGGTTGAGGAAGGCATCACATTTTTGACATGGGGCTTGTGACAAATAATCTCAAATGTATCATTGACCCTTTTGTTTGTAGGCCCTGACACCTAAGTCCAATACTTTCAGAAGAACACATGGAAAATAGGAACAATGTGACTGAATTTATCCTCTTGGGGCTCACACAGAATCCGGAGGGGCAAAAAGTTTTATTTGTCACATTCTTACTCATCTATATTGTGACGATAATGGGCAACCTGCTTATCATAGTGACCATCATGACCAGCCAGTCCCTGGGTTCTCCCATGTACTTTTTTCTGGCTTCTTTATCATTTATTGATACTGTCTATTCTACTGCCATTGCTCCCAAAATGATTGTCGACTTGCTCTCTGAGAAAAAGACCATTTCCTTTCAGGGTTGTATGACTCAACTTTTTATGGATCATTTATTTGCTGGTGCTGAAGTCATTCTCCTGGTGGTGATGGCCTATGACCGATATGTGGCCATCTGTAAGCCTCTTCATTATTTGATCATCATGAATCGTCGAGTCTGTGTTCTCATGCTGTTAGTTGCCTGGATTGGAGGTTTTCTTCACTCATTGATTCAATTTCTCTTTATTTATCAGCTCCCTTTCTGTGGCCCCAATGTCATTGACAACTTCCTGTGTGATTTGTATCCCTTACTGAAACTTGCTTGCACCAATACCTATGTCATTGGACTTTCTATGATAGCAAATGGAGGAGCAATTTGTACCATCACCTTCTTCACTCTCCTGCTTTCCTATGGGGTCATATTACACTCTCTTAAGACTCAGAGTTTGGAAGGGAAACACAAAGCTTTCTACACCTGTGCATCCCACATCACTGTGGTCATTTTATTCTTTGTCCCATGTATCTTCTTGTTTGCAAGGCCCAATTCCACCTTTCCCATTGATAAATCCATGACTGTGGTTTTAACTTTTATAACTCCGATGTTGAACCCACTAATCTATACCCTGAGGAATGCAGAAATGAAAAGTGCCATGAAGAAACTTTGGAGTAAAAAAGGAAACTTAGCTGGGAGAGGGCTGTATCCCTTATGAGAATGTGACATTCATTCTTTCACAGAAGCAAGGACTAATTTCACTGTCCTACATGATTACATTTTGGTTATCATTCCCCTTTAGTTATTTAGCTTACTTATTCTGAAGCAGTCATGTAAAATAATATTTAAACGCAATGTTACACCCATTACAGACCAAGAGAATTGCATAAGTTTAACAGTGTATACTGTTTTTGTAGTCATATTGTGTTAAGATTCTTTGGTAGATAACAATATTTAGTTTTATTTCAAGCTCTTTTTTATTTTAAAAATCATTTATTTATTTTTCTTTTTTATTTTAAATTGATAATAATTGGGTATATTTATGAAGTACAATGTGATGGTTTGATCTATGTATACATTACAGAAAAATTTAATCAGTCTAATGAATACATCACTTCTCCAATATCTTTTTTTTTTGTGGTGACATCAAAAATCTATTCTTGTTTATGGGCTATGATACCTTCCTGGTGCATATAAATGTGACCTATGAAAATTTGTTCCCTTTAGTCCAAAAGAATAATATTTTAAACTTGAAAATTCAGATTGTTAACAGAATGTTAATCTAACAGTAAAAATAAATGTCTTGGTCAAATTAATGAATTGAAAGTTTCATAGGTATATTGATAGCTGAAGCCAAATCTATGAGAAATAAACTTTGTTAATTTTGTACTGTGACAGAGTTAAGATGTCCAGATAGCATATAGTTGATTTTGTATATTTTGACCAACTTTTAGACAGAAAAATTGTTCAATCCCATTCTGTATATCTAGGTCAATTGGCCTCCTCCAATGGTCGAAATATGTGTTTAAGTCACTCATTTATAACAGTGGAGCCCACAGAATCTATCTACATTAAACTCTCAGAGTGCACATAAAGAAAAAAAAAAACAAACGCAATGAATGTTAAACATTTTGGGGATAGATTGATTTGTTTTACACAATAAATGGCTTTCAGAATCTCTGTGGACTATATCTTCTCATTGACTAAAGTCATAAACCACAGATGTCTTCTCTCTCTCTCTTTTTTATTTTTTTTTGAGATGGAGTTTCACTCATGTTACCCAGGCTGAAGTGCAATGGCGCAATCTCGGCTCACCGCAACCTCCGCCTCCTGGGTTCAGGCAATTCTCCTGCCTCAGCCTCCTGAGTAGCTGGGATTACAGGCACGCGCCACCATGCCCAGCTAATTTTTTGTATTTTTAGTAGAGACGGGGTTTCACCATGTTGACCAGGATGGTCTCGATCTCTTGACCTTGTGATCCGCCCGCCTCGGCCTCCCAAAGTGCTGGGATTACAGGCTTGAGTCACCGTGCCCGGCCCTTCTCTCTTTACAGTTACTCTATAATAGATTTAGAGTACTAATAATACTGTATTACAAAGATAATTTTTAAAAGCTCTGTCATTACATATTGTCTTGTTGAAAAATCAACCTATAGCATCTATATTAAGGTAAAAAGTTGGTATTTTTTTCATTTTCCTTTTCTCAGGGTGTAATAGATTTACTTAATGCACTTAGCAATATTAATGTGTCCAGTTATTCAACACATATTGAATAAAAAATAAGCCACGGAATTGTATTTATTCTTTAGTGAAGGAAGTAAAGAAGTTTTTTAAAAAGTTTTTTTTTTAGTAACAAAGGAATCAGAACTTCATAATCATTGGAACTGGAGAATCTGGCATCTGGATACTGGAGGGAGCAGAGTTGGGATGAAGGATTCACCACCCAAGCCGTCATGCAGAGATGAGGATGCTAAGCTCAAAAAGAAACTCCTCTTGTCCTCTGCACATGCTTCTCAAAGTCCTTTCCTACCTTGAGTTTTATATAAAGGTACTTTTCTTTAAAAATTTAAAGTTTTGCTTTTCACACTAACTTGTCTGGTCTCATTAATCCACATAAAGTTTGAATTTCCAGTTATGGTATGAGGTGGAAACGCACTTTGCTTTCTTATCATGGAAATAATTTTCCCATCACATTATTGAATAATCATTTAATTGTCTACTACCTTGAAATACCAGAACTTTTATCTATAAAATACAGATATAAAAGTTGTTCTCTGGTGTTAAAAACTGGTCACGGAATCCTTTATGTTTTATCATATCTGGGTGATGATGCTCATGGTTATGGGCTGAACTGTGTCCTCCCCTAAATTCATTTGCCGAAGCTTTAAAATCCAATCTGAATGCTTGGGAGACAGGGCCTTAAAAAGGTAATTAATATTAAATAGGGTTGTAAGGTGGGGGGTAATCCATTAGAACTCATATCCTTATAAAAAGAGGAGATTCTGCCCTCACATGGACACAGATACAAAGCAATGTGAGAACACAGTAAGAAGGTGGCCACCTGCAGGCCCAGAAGACACCCCTAAAGCCCTCACCAGTAACCAATCATGCCAGCACATTGATCTTGGGCTTCCAGATTTCAGAACTATGAGAAAATAAATTTCTGTTGTTTAAGCCACCCAGCCTGTGGTCTTTTGTTAGGATAGCCCCAGCAGACTAATACAATGATGATGCTAATGGGGGTGATAATAATATGAAATCTAGGTTTGGTGAACAGAGGTCTGAAGTGATTCACCATGATGAAAAGTCATGGCTCCTCATCCAATCTCAGATGTGCAGTTTTCAAATCCAAAGCTTTTTGGATGAAGGTTCAAAAAGCTTAAATAAGAACCTCATGGAAAAGAAAAAAATAAATGAAATAAAAAAGAACCCTGTGATAACATCACAAAAAAGTGGTATAAATCTTTATTCTAAGCTTCCTCTGAGGAATCTGAGACCATTTACAAGAGTAATTTTGCTCCTGGAAAATAAAAATATGCAAATCTTTCTAGAGATGAATGGAAAAAAGATCTGAGCTAAAATTCATTCTCAGGTGGAAAAAATGCGACTGTGGCCCACTGGCCAGAAAGCAGATGAAGGGGGAAGAATATTGGCTCAAAGCTCTCATGGTGCTGAATAGCTCTTGAATTCATAGACTTCATGAATTCTGCAGGATGCGTAAATATCCATATAGGGTATCTGATCTCAGATGTAAAGTTACTGTAGTATGAGGGACCAAGTAGAATTATTTGGAAAGAAACTTTTTCCACCAAATAGTGAGTAAAAAGCAGCACCATATCTTTGGGCTACTTGCAAAAGTTAGGGCTAACAAGAAATCTCACAGATACAGATAGTGACTCTTACCACATTTCCACCTAATTTACTTGTTTATCTTAGGAATAAGATGGAGAGACAGGCTTAATATGTGTGGAAGTGGAAGTTTAAAAATCTTGTATCATTAATCCTTACTTTTTGTGATTTGTCTTTATAATGGTCCCCTGTTAGAAGCAGGGGATACATTCCAAGATCCCCAGTGGATACCTGAAACTGAGGATAGTAATGAGCTCTATTACTATAAATCAGAATATGATAACGTTCATGTGTTCTACCTACAAACTTAATGTCTTTTCCATATTAACTAAGCACTTAGAGATACAGAAAGGCTGGGCTCCTGACTAAACCCTTACACCTGGAACTGCAGCCCTAAGGGAAAACAGCTGGCCCGTTTTTCCACCCAATCATTGTCTTTTTGGTTGCCCCTCCCCTATTCTGTGCCCATAAAAGACTTGAGCTGGCAGGGCAACACAGGCAGCTGAGCTTGGGAAGATACAAGCAGCTGAGCATTGGAGACTGGATAGACGTGGCTAGCTTTAGACGGTATGGCTTCAGAAAAAGATCACCTTCCCATACCCTTTCCAACCTCCCTTTCCACTGAAAGCAACCTACCACTAAATAAAACCAAAAAGCAAAACCTAAACTTAAAAACTAAGCCAAACCAAAACAAAAACCTCAGATAAGAGAGGACTACCATACATAATAAAACCCCAGAGGAAAGAGTCAAAAGATGTATTTGGTTGTAATCTCTCAGCATTTTCATTTCTCAAAAGGCACATCTCACTTGAAAAACCATGAGGCTCAGTGGGGAGTTGGGGAGATAGCATGGGGAGAAATGCCAGATATAGGTGAAGGGGAGGAAGGCAGCAAGTCACACTGCCATGTGTGTACCTATGCAACAATCTTGCATGTTCTTCACATGTACCCCCAAACCTAAAATGCAATAAAAAAATTAAAAAAAAAAAGAAAAACAATGAAGCTAATTGAAGCAATTATATAGATCAATTAAGCAAACAAAACAATGTCTTTTGTGTTGAATTATTCTAACAGATTGGAACTCAGGAAACTTGAAATTTTTTTTTTTAGTTATTTTTTAAATTGTCAAATAATAGTTGTACATATTCATGGGGTACAAAGTATGGTTTCCATACATATAATGTATTGTGATTAGATCAGGGTAATTAGCATATTACCGTCATCTCAAACATATCCATCATCTCAAACATTTATCATTTCTTTGTGTTGGGAATAGTCATATATATAATGTATGTATATATATATATATATATATATATAAAATAATATTTATTATGGGGTAAAGCCCCATGCTTGCTCTGAAAACCAAGTGTCAGAGCCCCTTCTCCTTGTTTTTATTTTACTATTATACCTTGTAATGGAAATAAAGTTTGTACTTGGAGTGGAAAAAAAAAATAGTAAATATAAAAAAAAAAGGAATAGTCAATATTCTCCTTCTAGCTATTTTGAACTATATAATTCGCTGTTGTTAACTATGATCATCCTACAGTGGTATAGAATACTAGAATTTATTCCTCTTATCTATCTGTAATTTTATAGCCTTTAGTGAATCCCTTGCAATCCCTCCCTTCCCCCTGCCCTTCCCAGCTTCTAGTATCCTCTGTTCTACTTTTGACACCTGTGAGATCAGCTCTTTTTAGCTTTCACATATGAGTGAGAGTATGTGGAGTTTAACTTTCTGTTCCTGGCTTATTTCATTTAATTTTCTCCAGTTTCATCTACGTTGTAATGAAACTCTTTAGTTTAATTAGGTACCACTTGTTTATTTATTTATTTTTGCTTTGGGGGGCTTAGCCAATTTTTTTTTTCCAAGGCTGATGTCAAGAAGAGTATTTCTTAGGTAGTCTTCCAGGATTTTTAGGGTTTGAGTTCTTGCATTTAAATCTTTCATCCACTTTGAGTTAGATTTTTGTATATAGTAAAAGGCAGGAATCCAGCTTCTGTCTTCTGCATATGGCTAGCTAGTTATTCCAGCACCATTTATTGAATGGGGAGTTCTTTCTCTGTTGCTCATTTTTGTTGTCCTTATCAATGGTTGTAGGTGTGCAGCTTTATTTTGGAGTTTTCTATTCTGTTCCCTTGGTCTATGTATCTGTTTTTGTACTATACCAAGTTGCTTTGGTTTCTGTGGATTTATGGTATAGCTAGAATCAATAGGAACTTAAACAAATTGACAAGCGAGAAACAACTCCAAATGGCCAAAGGACATAAACAGACACTTCTCAAAATAAGATATACAGTGGCCAGAAAATAAACAAAATGCTCAGCATCACTAATCATCAGAGAAAGGCAAATCACAACTACAATGAGATTCCGTATCACACCACTCAGATGGCTGTTATTAAAAGGTTGAAAAACAGCAGATGCTGGCGAGGTTGCAGAAAAAAGGAGATGTTTATATACTGTTGGTAGGAATGTAAATTAATCCAGCTACCATGGAAAGCAGTCTGGAGATATTGCAGAGAACTTAAAACAGAGCTACAATTGGACCCAGCAATGCACTTGTGTGTTCATTGCTGTGCTGTTCACAATAGCAAAGACATGGACTCAATCCAGGTGCCCATCAATAGTAGATTGGATAAAGAAAATGTGAAATTTATACACCATGGAATACTATGCAGCCATGAAAAAGAATAAAATCATATGCTTTGCAGCAATATGGAAGGAGCAGGAGGCCATATTTCTAAGCAAATTAATGCAGGAATGGAAAACCAAATACCAGATGTTCTCACTTTCAAGTGGGAGCTAAGCATTGAGCACACATGGACATAATTATGGGAACAAAAGACATTAATGATCACTAGAGGGTGATGGAGGGGAGTCAGTTAAAAAACTGCATAATGAGTGAGTAAAAAATTACTTTTTGCTTACTACATACGTGATGGAATCTGTACTCCAAAGCTCAACATCACACAATATTCCTATATAACAAATCTGCAAGTGTATCCCCTATATCTAAAAATTGAAACTAAAGAAAAATCAGCAAAAAATTAATTGCATTTAAACCTATGCAAAAATTTTAGTGTCTTTACATGATCACGACAGCCATGTAAAATTGAAATCTAGCTATCTTATTTTACAGAAGAAATAGAGGATCAGCAAGATTAAATAACTGAATCATAGAACATGTACATTGTATTTGAGCCCAAATATTCTTACTCTGTATCCTGTGATACTTTCATTAGGCAGAATTCTTTGGGGCTAGTATTTGATTGTGGTGCAATACATAAAACTATTTTTGATACACATCATAAAAAATAAAAATATATTAGATTAAAAATTATTAGTATCAAGAAATGAATATTTTTCAGCAGTACATAGTAAAATATAACTATAAAACAATTTCACTATTAAAAAGTTGGCTCTAGACTTAGCTCCTTGAATATGAAATTCTTTTTGAAAACTGCTTTAGGAGATGGTTCATGAAGTATATGGAAAGAAAACAGGAGTCATTCATGGTTGATGAACAAAATATTTCTCAGTTAAACAGTTTACCTTACTTACAAGATTTTGTTATGAATAACTTTTGGATCATTTAAAAATGCAGTCTATTACCAAAATATAAATATATATCTCATAGATATGTTTATAGCTACCTCTATTGACAGAAAGATCCAGCCTCCTAACTCATGGTTATCATATGTTTTATTGAAAAAAATCAGTAGACTTTGTGATGTGACAATATTTAGCAAGCATAGTATGATTGTGGAAACATGATGGAAACACCAGCTTCAGGATCAGGAGACATGAATTTATTTCTTACTGTTTCACTGTGTTCATTCCATGATCTTAAATAGTTCTATTTATGCAAGTAGTTTACTTGGAACATTTGGAAGGTGCTTACAAGTTCTGTGATTATGTCCATACTAAGATATTTATTATCAAATATATTGCTATATTTTCTTTTTCTACAACTAGAAGAGGGAAAAGTGGAAGTGTTTTGAGTAATTGTATGTCTACAGTCCAGCAGTGGAATACAACCCTAAACTTTTCAATTTTTAATTACCAACTTAGGAGATGTCCTCCTGGGATGAAAGGGTTTTTAGATTGGACTAATAAAATACATGCTCTGCCCTTGAGTGCTTTGTTACTTTGAGAATGTGTTCCTGGGTCTATTGAAGTGCATTAAACTGCCCCTAAGAACACTGTCAGACGCCTTCTTTTTGTTTAATTAGCTCCTGATCTGGATCTGTCAAATGTTAAATTTACACCTTAACTGGTTTCTTACCAACTGAGATCTGATCCATATTGAATTTCTTTGCTTATTCTGGTTTGCCTTGTTAGTTGGAAAAATCTGTGTTGCTGTCTCTTCAATGTTTTCTCCACTCACTTTTTGGACTTGTATTCTGGAAACAGACTTTTTCTTATAGCTCCAGGAACTCCTTTTTTGAAAGTTACCTTTATGTTCAACCTCTTTGACTGGGACCTAACTCTGTAGACTGTCCTTGCTTCACTCCACGCTACTCTGGGATCCGGGGAGCTTGACTAGAAAGGTGTAGGGATTCCAAAGAACTCTTGTCTATCACCACCCTTAGCTTTTTAAGTAGAGACTGGTTGGCCACTTAATGGGCCAACATGAATAGAGTTTGGTATTTTATTAAGTTAGGCATGATGACCTTGTAAATACATACAAATTCTCTGATCTGGCTCTGTGCTTTCACTCCAGACTTGAAAGACAGTTCAAGACATAGTCACAGATGACACCTTAGCAAAATCCACATTTATTATAGTTCTTTAGATAGTTTCAAGTCCTCATTCAAACTTTCTTCATCTCACCTACTACTATAAATATTATCATGGCACTACACTGTCTAGTCAAACTAGGTTTGTCATGTGGTCTCAGTTTTTATAAACTATTTTATTTTACCATGACCATGCTGTTCACTTTGACCACTTTCTTCCAAGCCAATCCAGAGTTATGAACAATTAATTTTTTATCTTATTTTGGAAAGCCTATTTGAACATGGGTGAGTGAATGTGGTTCTACATAGGAATATTCCTGAATTGAATTCAAATTGTTTTAAAAATATTTTCACATATAGGTAAATGTTTCTACTAGTAGATAATTCTAATATGCTTCACAACCGGCAACAACATAAACATTTCATGACTCATTAGTTGTAAAATAATAATTTAAGACTAAGAATCTTGGTTCAGAATGTAGGAGGCTTGACTTGGCAGATGAGGGTCTGATTCCTTGATTTAGTTTTCCATGTTGTAAAGTAGGAATACGGATGCCTATATGTTTCCCATGCCATAGGGATATTGTTAGATTAAATTTAAATGACTGAAATAAATGGATTTTACAATTCTGAATATAATTTAAGAATGTAATTATTTTCATAATTGTCATGTTATGATAATTATGGAATTAGCATGAGAAACAACTACTTTGAAGTACTGCAAGCTACAACTAATGTAAAGTACTGCTAATATAATAGGAGTTATTGCTATCACTTAATTTTCATCTGAAAACAGATTAAATTTATAATAACCATGAAAGATAGGTTATTAAGGGAACGTTCTAATGAAAAATGTAAAAGTCAGTTCCCACCTGAATGTTTAATTTATACAACACCAAGTATCTAGACTCCCTACTAAGTTTATCTGATATATTATCAAATGTCCAAATTTATAAGTGGTCAACTTTTTTTTGGTTTTGTTTTTTGGTTTTTTTTACACAGTGATTAATCTTCATACAGACCTAAGCAAGGAGTTAAAACTAAAGCTAAATGCTTTAAGCATTCTCCTCTAATGTTCACTTTTAAGCAACATGAACTAATTGGGCTGTAGGCAAGGTCTGCTAATAATAGTGAAATACCCGTGAGATCTAATTAACCACAGCTAAGAAACTTTGCAGAATTTGCCTGCAAAGAGGACATGTGGTAGCACTTCTAAGACTCAAGAGAAAGGTACTATCTAAAGATGCCACTTATAAATCCACAAAGACCTACTGGAGCTGAGCTAGTTGGCATTTTTCATCTTACAACTTCACTTCTTGATGAACTAACAGCTGCCTGGGACTCTGGCCATGGAGCTATGTCAGACAAGTTAATAGGTGAGATTTGTTTTTCAAGAAATCATATAAATATAGAATCTCAGGATTAAACGGACCTTAAAAATCACCCTTCTTCCCCATCAATCTAAGGTTTAAGTCTCTTCTTCCTCATGTGAATTATCAAGAAAGACAGAATCAACTATAATCCCACCACTTTAGAAGTAAAAATATTTTAGGGTCTTTTTTTTTCCCTATTCATACATTTGAATTAATTAGAATCACATTATGTATTCAAATTTGCATCCATATTTTTCCCACTTAATATTATAAGAATTTTCCTGTATTACACAAATTTTAAGAACATCATTGTTAAAAGCTACACATTTTTCTAAGAGGTACACTATGTTTTACTTCCCCACTTCTCTAATATGAGACATTCCTTGGAGTTTCTAATTTTCTGCAGCTCTTAATAATTTTGTTGAACATATTAGTAATGAATGATTTTTCTCTTTTTAAAATATTTTCCGTTAGGATTTATTCTTAGAAAAAAATATTGTGAAGTTCAAGGAAAAAGATAAGGTGACTTTAATTTCTTCATAGTTATTTTAAGGTCACATTTATTATGTCTTCTCTTACTTTACACACACCATACTCTTTCAGATCTGTTTGGGAGTCGACCTCAGAATAAGAGAAAATGATGAAGCAGGTGCACTTTGTTTTCACATATGTACACAGTTTTTGTATTGGAAAATTAAAAAATAAACCCCTTTATCCACTTACTATTCAAAGGAAAAATATTTTTCAAAGAATACATTTTGTTTATGTTTTTGGTTTTCATATTTTGGGAAATTTATGTCTCCAAACTGGGATGAGTTTCCTTCTTCTATTAATACTGGAGTTTTCTCAAACCAAGAGTGATGTATGATGGATATTAGGGAAGGGTGGGAGAAGGCATGAGAATGTATGCAACAGAAACAAAGTAGTAGAAGGGATTAGTCATCATGTGAGCAGGTGGATTGTTATGTGGTAATGAAATGTCAGGGGAGGGCCTACAAAAGGGCTCTGTGAGGAACATGTTTATGGTTTTATATGGGCAAACATACATTAATATGTAGAGTGTCCAATAAATATTTGCTGAATGAGTGAATAGGTAAGTCATAGATACCTACTTATAGGAACTAGATGTTATGTGTTTATGTTTGTGTATGCGTGTGTATATATCTGTATAGTACTTTATCTTATCTAGCAGCCTATTTCTGTTCTCTACATTGAGTTTCTGTTTTTAAAACTTTGAAAATGAGAAGTTCTTTGGCTTTAACAGATTATGGATTGAAAAGCTTCTCCAAGAGTTTTGTTTTTTTTAAAAATCCCAGTCTATTCAAGTTTTAAATTTACTGAGTTGGAACTGTGTTAAATTGTATGTGGAACATAATTTCGAGGAATAAACAATATTAATTAAAGAACACGTCTGGGCGTGGTGGCTCACACCTGTAATCCCAGTACTTTAGGAGGCTGAGGCGGGTGGATCACCTGAGGTCAGGAATTCAAGACCAGCCTGGCCAACATGGCAAAACCCTGTCTCTACTAAAACTACAAAAATTAGCTGAGGCTGGTGGTGTGCACCTGTAATCCCAGATACTCAGAAGGCCAAGGCAGGATAATTGCTTGAACCCGGGAGGTGGGGGTTGCAGTGAGCTGAGATCATGCCACTGAACTCCAGCCTGGGCAACAGAGTGAGACTCCATCTCAAAAAAATGTGTAATAATTATCTTGAAAGTCAAATTTCCTAGTAACATAGTCTTTCGTGCAGGCAATTGATACTTCCATCCTCATCTTACAATATAGGCTAGAAACTATTAAACTGGAATACCTCTACCTTTCAAAAGTTTTTTAATGCTTCTCATAAGGTAGAGAGCCTGAATAAACAGAGTAGGAGAATAAGAGTACTTGAATTCCTAGGTTTATGGACTGGGGAAACACATATATCCTTATACATGGAGATCTAGGAAAGGAAGATGTAGGGGAATTCATGAGCATGTATTCATTGCCTGATAGGTGCCAGGCACTGAAGATACTATGTCAAGCACCACATAGGCACAGTGAGGAAAGCAACATGAACAGCATATTTGTTATGGTGGGTGCTAGGGAGAGAGTGTCTCTGACGACTTATATGTTTCCCTAATCTGCCTGCTTATGATAGATATTTCTTCACCACGTCTTTCTTCCAGTTGGAGCTATGGGAGCAAATGTAAATTCTGTGAGAAGAGGGAATAACCCTTACCTGTGAGCAGCACTTTACAGCTTACAAAATCAATCTCACAGCTACAGTTTGTAAACTCACAGATGTGGAGGTGGGCTCCGAAGCATGGGACACTGGAATAACTTAGCAAAGTCATATGGAGTTGGAACAAGAGGAAGAATACAGATCTCAAGTATAGAGTCAAGAATGTTCTCAGCAATTACACAGGAACTGTTGCCTTATAGATGTTTTACAGGTGATAATACTAGATATCTAAAGGGTTTGAAAGCATCATGGAGGAAGTGAAAATGAGTAATTTAAGTAATTACTGGGTTGAGGGAAGCCAAAGACATGCAGTTAACTACCCTATCTCTATACTGTGAAATTCAGACTGTAATCCTTTTATGATGAATAGGTCATCTTTATCTCTTACAGGTAATTCAGAACCCTGGTCATCTTTCTTTATTGCTTATAGGTTACTCCCTGAATGGATCACCTCATGCCTCCCAACAATGTGACTGAATTCATTCTCTTGGGACTCACACAGAATCCACACTTGCAGAAAATACTCTTTATTGTTCTTTTATTTATTTTCCTATTTACTGTGCTGGCCAATCTGTTCATTGTCATCACCATCTCCTCCAGCCCCACACTTTCATCACCCATGTACTTCTTTCTCACTTACTTGTCCTTTATAGATGCCTCCTACACCTCTGTCACCACCCCCAAAATGATCATCGACCTGCTTTACCAGAGAAGAACCATTTCCTTGGCTGGCTGCCTGACTCAGCTCTTCTTGGAGCACTTGCTGGGAGGATCAGAGATCATCCTTCTTGTTGTCATGGCGTACGACCGCTATGTGGCCATCTGCAAGCCCCTGCACTACACAGCCATCATGCGACAAGGGCTCTGCCACCTTCTGGTGGTGATAGCCTGGACTGGAGGCATCCTGCATGCCACTGTACAGATTCTCTTCATGACCAACTTGCCCTTCTGTGGTCCTAATGTCATTGACCACTTTATGTGTGATCTCTTCCCATTGTTGAAACTTGCCTGCAGAGATACCTACAGACTTGGGATGGTGGTGGCAGCCAACAGTGGAGCCATGTGCTTGCTCATCTTTTCCATGCTCCTCATCTCCTACATAGTCATCCTGAGCTCCCTGAGATCCCATGGCTCTGAAGGACAGCACAAAGCCCTCTCCACCTGTGCCTCCCACTTTACTGTTGTGGTACTCTTCTTCGTGCCTTGCATATTCACCTACATGCGTCCCGTGGTCACCTACTCTGTGGACAAGTTGGTGACGGTGTTCTTTGCAATCCTCACCCCCATGTTAAATCCTATAATTTACACAGTGAGAAACACAGAGGTAAAAAATGCCATGAGGAGTTTGTTGAATAAGAGAGTAACTTAGTCTGTGCATAAAGGCAAGAAAGTGATTAAATGTATAAAGAGGGAGAAATAGGTCTGTGGTAAATTGTGCAAGATAATTCAGGTAGTTTACAGATCATTGACAAAAACTAAACAAACAAATATTAAAAAAAGAAACCCAGAAACTAACATTTATTGAGCACTTAACATTGGCTAGGTCTTTTGCAAGGTATTTTGATAGGTTTTAACATACTTTACCAAAGCTTTAATGTTCATGTGCATTGATTCTGGATATGCCATGGAAAGAACTATGAATCCCTAGCTTGATAATTCTAGAGTATGTTTTTCTCTAGAGTCTCACTGTTACTTTGCTAAATTCTTCATACATATGTTACATACATAAAATTGGCTTTTGCACAGAATCTTGATCTTAGAACTTGGAAAATTTTTGCTTGGCTTATGGTAAAGCAAACAAAGAGGCTAGAAATCCTTAGATATGGGTAGATGGAGGGTGACAATTGAGGAGTGACAGAACCACTGGTGATTGTCTTCCTTTGTCCCTCCCTCCCTCCCTCCCTCCTTCCTTTCTTCCTTCCCTTTCTCTCTCTTTTTCTCTTTCCCTCCCTCCTTCCTTCCTTCCTCTTTTTTCTTTCTTTATATTTTTCCTTTCTTTCTCTTTCTCTTTTTCTTTCTTTCTCTCTCTCTCTTTATTCCTTCATTCTCTTCCTCCCTTCTTCCTTCTTTCTCTTTCTCATTCTGAGTCTACTGAAAGCAAAGGGAGACACCTACAAAAAAGAAAGACATAATTAATAACATATCTTAAAATTTTTTTCCTCAACACAAAAAATATGCTAGAACTTATGAGATTACTCTTAATTTGTTCTGATTTTCTTAAATCTCCTTATAACTCACAGTTTTTCTTGCATATAAAGGACTTTGTTTGTTTCACTTTCTTCACCAATATTTGAGAAGCTATTTGAGTCTGCAAAAGTAAACTGTCTTTTATTTAATCTCAATAAAAAGGCATATGCTAAGTTTCTAAAGTTATTGTTCATTATGTGTGCCACATATATTTATATTAAATGAGTGTCTTATTATTTATCAGACACATTCACTTCAGTTAGGTTACTTAAATCATACACTAAAATGCCAGTTTCAAGATTACTGTCCCCATTTTATAGAGAAGCAAATGAAAGCTAAGAGAGGCACACAAATTTGCTTGTCTCAGGTCATACATCTGAATTTCAGCAACAAAATTTGAATCTAGGTCTTCCAAATCTGTCCTACTTCAAATAAAACAGTTGTTTATGGTGAGTTTATGTCCATAGATAAGAAATTTATATGTAATCTTAATGATTCACTTTGTCCTTCAAGAAAGATGATGCCAAATTTGTTGTGACCATTTCTTACATATAGTATATAGTCTATATGTAGTTCCTATATGCACATGAATTATATATTCTTATATGCAGTATATATTTTTACGTGTAGTTCCTATATGCACATGGAAAATACCACATCATTCTATGTTACTACATAACATTTCATGAATCAAAGTTTCTCTGACTGTAAACACAGTTACTTCTCACAAATGATTTCTTTCTTAAGCTCACTGATCATCTACATCTGTTTCTTCCATAATTTGAGCATATAGTAATGCCAGAACATGAGATATCCGTTCTACCTGTTTTTTTTGGGGGGGTAGGGCAGGGATGACTGTGTTTTAGCTTATGCACGAATGTTCAAATTCATAAGAAATAGAACTTTTTTCTCACAAAATCTAGGCCTGAAAGATGATATCATAAGCACTTGATCTAATAAAAATAATTAAATTTGCAATTGCTAGTGAAATTTAAATATTTCAACAGAATCTAGATGAAATAATTTGTGATTCGCTTTGTATTATGATTGTTAGATAGGGGATGAGGGTAAACCAGGGACAGGGAGAGAAAAAGTATTAAGAAATGTTATTTTTATTCTAAGACAGAAAGATTTGAAGACAGAAACTAAGGGCAATGATTGTGTCTTAGTGGGTACACCAAGTACTCAGTGGAGGGGTGAGAAGATTAGTTAGAAATTATAAATGAGACACAAATTTTAAATTGTTAACAGCAAACCTGGAAGGTGTAGAACTGAAAGAAGACATGTAGTCAGCCTGGCGTTCTCAGTGGATGAAGTCCTGCTGCTTTATAAACGATGTTTAAGAATGTTGAGAAATTCCTTTGCACCCATCATCAAGAGTCTCTCATGAAGACCAACTTCAATCTGATTATTTCTGGTGCTTAAAAATAAAATGACCTAAAAGCAAGTATGCACATTTTCCCCTATAAATTAAACAGAAAAATAATATTTGGATCTGATGTATAAGAATGCTTTGGTTTAATCTGAATATTCAATTCAGTAAAAATACTAGGCATTATTTAGGTAAGGGGAGTGATACTATTGTTAAGGCTGACTATGAAGCACATGTATTGTTAGGTTTTTCACATATTTTGCCTTCTGCCATGATTGGAAGCTTCCCCAGACCTCCCCAGAAGAAGAAGCTGCTATGCGTCCTGTACAGCCTACAGAACTGGGAGCCAAGTAAATCTCTTTTCTTTATAAATTACCCAGTCTCAGGTATTTATTTATAGTAGTGTGAGAACAGACTGATACAGATAAAATAAAATACATAAATTGGCAGATAGTATGTCTGTGGTGCTAAAATTTCAGGGGCAGGGTCATTAGGAGAATAAAAAACATCTAGAAACCCTCCTCAGGAGGAAAATGAAGAAGAAAAAAAAGTTGAGGATCATTCCTGTTATCCATGTCTACATGGTTAGGTAAGAACACAGTTACTTGTTTTTAGTAACTTTCGAGAACTGAAAAGGTAGTTCAAGTGCAGAGGTCAGACCATCACCTGTGAGCCCAAATCCGGTTAAGTTGAGAGACTCTCCTTTCGCAGGATACTTTGAGGGTATTCAGCCAAATATGTCAGTGAACCAGTTGTAATCTAGGAAATATATTGCAAATGTAGAATAATAATCTTTCTTTTATTGAAGGTAGAAAAGGAATGAAGGTTATAGGCCAGACATGGTGGCTTACAACTGTAATCCCAGCACTTTGGGAGATCAAGGTGGGTAGATCACTTGAACTCAAGAGTTCAAGACTGGCCTGGGCAACATGGCAAAACCCTGTCTCTACTAAAAACACAAAAATTAGCCGGGCATGGTGGTGCCTGTCTGTGGTCCCAGCTACTCGGGAAGCTGAGGCAGGAGGATTGCTTGAGCTTTGGGGGGTCGAGGTTGCAGTGAGCCATGATCCTGGCACTGCGCTTCAGCCTGGGTAACAGAGTGGGACCCTGCTTCAAAAAAGGAAAAAAAAAAAAAAGAATGAAGGCTATGATTCCAAATATTTTAAAAATTAAAGCCATACCATTTGGGTTACTGGTTATGGAAGGAGAAGAAATTTAGTCCTAAATATTTTTCTGGCTGAAGTTCATTTTTAAAATTCTTAATAATGGCAGCTATCCTGCAGCTAGATGTGACACAATTTCAATAGTCTGAAAACATTAACAGAGTATCAGACTAGGTACTAAAAAATTCTGTCCTGACACTTGCTAGGTGGCCAAGAGAAGTTGTACTCTCATTTCTTCATCTGTATCGTCAGGCAGAACAAGAACTGTGTGGCCATTCTGTTACTGAAGGACAGAATGTAGCTGAGGAACAACTCATTGAATGGGGAACACCATGATCTAGTTTTGCACTTGGGAAGCATCACCTTGGCTTGACTCCAGTGAAGCTCTGCCCCTGGGAAAAACCCAGTCACTGCAGGGGCGAATGTACTGCGTTTAGTTTCTCAGTCAGTAGAAACACAGCCTCAAAGGGATGTGGTTGGAATGAGGCGAGTCTGAACATTGTGAAGTTCTGTGCTATTTCAACACTCTTCCCTCCTGTAGCCCAGAACCAGTACCCAAAGGAGGACATCTCATTAATGATGTTTCTTCTGAAACGTGGATTGGAAGCTGTGTACAAATCGAGCTCAAAGAGCAGCCAAATGACAAGCATAGTCCCACGAATGATTCTGTAGACAGCCTAGCTGGCTACGTTTTTTGCTAACTTTTCCTATTTAGATAAAATTTAAGCTTCTCTGCCAACCACAAGTGTTGTTTCTCATTTAAGTTCTTGGACACTTAGAACAACTACTTTAAATGTTTCTTTGAAATGCCTAGAAACTTAGCCCTATCAAATCTCCATTAAATGATTAATTTATTTTTTGTGCAGGTCCTGACTTACTTTGACACTCTAATATGCCATGGTTCCTAGCTCTTCTGAAGAAGAAAATTCATGTGAGTACTCCTGGATAAGGTCAGACTCTCAGGCCCTCTAACATGATTGTAGGAAAACTTACTTGCATAATCTCCGCCTTCTACTTAGTGGGGTCATCAGGTAACTGGCTTTTGGGGTTCACAGAGATGACACCAAACACCAAATGAACTTTGGAGAGAGCCTTAAATTTTTATTTGAGCATTAAACATATTCCTATTAATTTGAGCTACTATTTTGAAACTGTTAAAAATAATTGAATCACCTGATTACATGCACTCTTATACTACGCTTAAGATGTCCATTAATTCACTTGTTTGTTTTATTTGTATATGCACATTCTGCTCTCAGAATGGAGAGACTTTATGAACAATTCGTAGCTTGATTTGTTTTAATCTTTTTTGGCAAGTTATCTGAAATTGTCTACTTTCTGACCTCTATCCAGATAATTAAGATTAGAAAATAAAATAGTGTATTTATATTCTAGAGACGTACTCTTAGGAAAAGGAGGAACCAGAATAACTCGTATGCCTTGTATGGTATTCAGAGAAATCTTCTTTTTCTCTTCTTTCATTTGACTCTCTCTCTGTGGAAAAAAAAAAATATATATATATATATATATATATATATATATATTTTATATGCATTTCTTCTTTCCACTTGTTCCAACTTCATTTAACCTTTGTTTTTCTACTAATCAGTTTTGAGAAAGAAATTACATGATGTCTGTCTATTTTAGTTAGTTAATGATAACTCAAATTCAGGTTTTCATTTTTAATGAAAAGATGAATTGGGTTGTAAAAATTTATCAATATAAAAACATGCAGATTTATTCGTGAGCAGCCCTGCTCACAGACATGATGTCAGTGCTGAGGATGATGCTGGTGATTTGTTTTGGAATGGGATAGTGACATCAAGAAACTTGTTTAGGGGCTCAACCCTCTTCCTCTGGAAGCATTCCAAGAAAACATCAACTTTTTTTCTACAGTGGTATAGTAATTATCATCCTATAAAAGTGCTATTGTGGATAATTCTCTCTTCACTCATCTCTCAAGGAAAGAAAAGTGAATTAAGAAGATTTATTAAGAGTAATTATCTTTTTAAAGCCCTTAATTCAAGGTGTATGCTATTAATGGTGCATATGCTCAGGGTAGAAACCTTCCAAGGAACACAAGGTAACAGATTGCTGGTCTCACTGAACACACTGCTGCCACCTTCTTACCACTCAAGATTTTACTGAAGAAATT